GTTATAAACATTAATGTTAAGAAACTGTTCTGACAGTGACAAGATAAGGATCAGAAATCTTAATTTCCAATATAGGTGTCCTTGTTTCATACTGAGAAAAGAGAAACCAAAAGGAGGACCTGTGAGATATAAGCCTCCTTACTTGCCATACAGTTTGTAAGAGTTCTTGAGAATACTTCCAAAATGCATGGAAAGGGTTAGAAAGCAAAAAGCAGTTTTTCCAAGAAAAAAAGGTTTCAAAAAACCCAAAAGAAACAAACCCATTAATATTATCTTAAAATTACTTACAAAAGTAACAGACTGTCCTTGAATTTTGGGATACAGTATTAGGTTTGGTTCCATGCATCTAATGGGACTCCAGCTCCCATATTCATCCCACAGAGTTTAATTACGTTTCAAATAAAAGTGAAGCTCAGGACAGAAAGAAGACTCAAGATGGGAGGTTTCCTGTCATGGTCTATTTGACAGAACACTCCAGACAGCAAAGACCTTTCTTTACTCGACATTACTACCTCACCTTCAACAGAATCAGAGGTATCCAGTTTCATGACATATCCAAGTAACATCTCTACGCAGTATTGTCCACAAAGTCTTATGATAACAGCATGCTCTGAAGAGGAAGGCAACTACTCCCATTCCTAGAGGTACAGAAAAATACTTCATCATAAAAGCACGCCAAACCAGAACAGGTCTTTCCACAGCAATAATGAAAAACTCACTTTGAAAATACTCATTTTGTTAGAAAACCATTACAAAAGGAATATTTTCATTGAGGTTCCCTGCCCCATGATGAATATCAACCCATTACAATAATAATCTGGAGGGAAAATACCTATAAAAAGTTACATTTGCACCTCTGAAAATGATTGAAAGGAGATTAAGACCTACTTGCTGGCAAAAGAGCATTGTGCAGTCTGTAAGAAGCAACAGTATTAGGAAAAATCTGTAACTATTTAATTACCTCAGTTTTGACACAAAAGTTTTCTTCTACCTGTCCCACACTCAATTTCTGTGAAACCAATAGAAATTTATGCCAAAAAAATCATCTCTTTTTGTACTCGTTGCTACATCTGTGCTTCTCCACATTTTACAGGAAAACCAGAGGCTACAAGGACAGCTTTTTCTGAAGGGCTGACAAATGTTTTTCTATTTCCTAAATCAGCACATCAGTTACATAAACGGGTGATACATACAGCCAGCTGACTAAACAAAAATACAAATATATTTCCAGACCACAAACATTTCCCCTAGTTATAATCTCACTATTACTATTAGTTTAAAAGCTACCACTTCCTTTTTGTAAGGCCTGTAATTAAACACATTTTACTCCATTATTTTGCCATTATGTTTTAGACTGCTCAGTGATTTTGTGCTCTCATGTAATATTTTTCTCATTTTCTCAGAAAAAAAGTGTAATTTATTCAGATATTTAAGAAACAATACATTTATTAATTTTTTTAATAGCAACATTTCCATCATTTTCCTCAAGAATACTGCTAGAAAGGTGAACAATCTTCTGAAACTTTTTCTCCCTGACAAACGGGAATACTAGTAACCACTAGAAAAAAAAGATTTATGAGCTGATGGGCTCATGCCTTCTCACTACATAGTGGACTATAGTGGAGGACTTCTTTGGAGATTTGGAGCACCTCAGCTCCAAAGGGAAGGAAAAACCCCAAGAGATTGAGGAGGGAGAAAATTCAAGCCAGGATGGGATAGACAGATGTAAGAAGAGGCTTAAACATGCACATTGCAACCTGTGTCCTGAGGCCCAGAGGCTAAACCTCTTGAGATGCATAAGGTAAAACACCTGACAAGTCTTTGCCTTGAGAGCCCCCTCTGCCTGACAGAGAATATCCCACCACGTACTAAAGGAAATAGCCTTGTTTTCACAACAGAATCCTCCTGCCTGTTACCTCAGGTTAGCCTCTGGAGCACAGATATGGGTGGATGCTCAAAGTCTACCTCAGTTTAACTCACATGTTAGATTCTATGAAGATAATTGCATGGAAGGAGGCTTTAATAAACCCCCCAAAAAACCAAACCACCTCTTTCTCCCCCCCAAAAACAAACAAACAACACCCCAAGGAGCAAACAAACACAAAACATTATGCTTCTACCTAGTCTTTCTGGTAGCTTTGTAATGAGCATCCAGTTTGGAAACTCTGATCTGGATCCTTGACTCCTTGTCACCTGCCCTACCCTACAGTTATTTGATGTACCAGTGTCCATTTGGTGTTAGGAAAGATGCTCTTTGGAGCAAAATACTTCTCGTAGTTCAGCTACACACCACTGACCAACTGACTATCTAAAAGGGAGAGAGGGGCAAGAGGGGGTTGATACTTCATCCTCAGCTTTGCTAAGCAAAAGAAGTGACAGCACAACTTGCCTTTACAGCTGACTTGCCTGATAGGAACTGGACAGAAACTTTACAGTTCTCTTGGTGAAAGCAACTGGCCAACTATCAGAAAGTTTAGCAGGCTGAGTTAAAGCAATGTGACCTAGAAAGGTACTCTCCCATTTCATGCAAGTAAATGGATTTTGAAGATTTCTGTTCTAATGGAGCTCTTCCAAGTGATGTCTTTGCAGAGCAGATGATGCTCCCTAAGACATTTATAATGATACTTTTTGGATAGAAAACATTGTATTTCAGAACAGCTGATCCAGTTTTGTTTCAGGCTTTTTAAAATGGTAAGGGAGACTATGAAAAATTATTATTTTCCTCTCTTGCTTTTAAGTCCCTCTGACACAGCCTCTCACTGAGCTTTCCTTGAGTTTGATTTATAGGACAGTCAAAATTAACCATCTGTTGGGTGGGTTTTGCCTTTTTGTTAGTCTCTGAATCACAAACTGAGTTTTCAGAAATGGAAAGCAGAAGGATGAATGCTTAAGAAATCAATAATGCTAAAGGTCTACATTTAACAAAATAGCCAGAAATGTAAATTTTCTATTTGAAACATCTTAGTCCCATATCCCAATACCTTGTCTACACAGTCAACAGTCTATCCCACTTCAGCATCTAGTGTAGCACCATTAAGGCTAGCTCTGAGGCATTCAGTGGGGAGGGCAGCAAAAAGTAATTTTGCCATTAAGCATTTTTCATGGAATGTGATAAATAAGAAATATGTGACCTTTCTACACAAAAACATACTGTAATTGCTTGAAAAAAAGGTGCACTTGACTAATGGCAACATGCTGGTTTCGGTCCTCAAACAGAACTAAAAAAAATCTTAAGTACACCTCTTCCCCACACATGCTGGTTTTTAAAATCAGGTTACAAACATCTAAACTCACAGGTTCTCTGTGCTGACAGCTGCAAGGAAGTATTCGGCTACACAACAGGCCTGGACTGCCCCAACAGGCTGACCACTGCACTGGCAGCACTGTCAAATGACTTATTTGCAACCAAATGGTCACTAGATTAGCAAAATGAGCACAGATCTATACAAAGAGCAAACAGATATGCTGTACCCTGCTGTAACCCTATTACTCATATAAAGGCCACATCCCTTATTTATAATGCCAAAACTAGGGAAGAGTAAAGCTCTCATTACAGCCAGTAAGATATACCTGCAGTGGCACAGACACACTTGAAGTCTCTGTACAGAAAACTGTGAGCACAGGCACACCCTATTTGTGTGACTTCCTCCTTCAAGACAGGGGGCTGTTCTTGCTCCAGGTTTAGAAGTTTTTTACATATTTGAACAAGAATAAAATTTTACATGTCTATAGTGCCTTTCACTCTAAGATCTCAAAGGACTTTATACCTATTACATATGTCCCAACCCCTCCCCTTGTGAGGTAGGTATTCCTATTATTTACAGCTGGGGAAATTCAGGCACAGAGGTTACATTATTTGCCCATGGTCACACAGTGAGTCAGTGACAAAATAAAACAGAATCCAGGTTTTCTGATTCCTGTTTGCACAATCCAACTAATAACAAGCCTCATTTTCAAAATAGCCTTAAACAAGTACCAGTGTGCATAAGAACAGTCTTGGGTTTCATGGGTCACTCCTAAAAAGCGTAAGAAAGGAGAAATAACAGGAAGGCAAGAAAATCTAGGAACACACAACTTACTTCTTCAAGCCAACACAGCTTTAAAGAGAGTTCCTGCTAACTCTCTTGCCAAAGCTGAGGCAACTTGACTATGAGCCTGAGAAAGAGGGGGTGGGAAAAAGAGACTGATGGACCCAAAGTTTGAAACAAAAAGCAAGCTAAACAGCTATACCATAAGCCTTCATCTTCTTGAAAGCACAGGGTCACAGAAAAATAGGGCTGAGAGGGACCTCAAAAGACCATTGAAGTTTATCCAACCTACCTTGAAGCCAGGATCAACTACACCCACTTGTTTCCAATAGTCTGGTTAGTCTGCTCTCAAAGACCTCCATCAGTGGAGACGCCATGCCCTTCCCCTGCAATCTGTTCCACCTTACACTATCACATGAGCAAAAGAGGACAAACAAGTCTTAAGCTAAGATAGCTACTTCTGCTCTTTTGGTGGGGATACAATGATTCCCAGGCCTGTTTAATGACCTGAATATATTTCAGAGAAGGTAGTCTCCAGATATTTATTTGTTTCTGTCCTGGATTCCTTGGGAAAACATCAAACACTGATGTCTGCTGTAGTGTAATATTTGAGTTTTGAAAATACAGATTAATACCAGGATAGATACCAATATACTTACTGCAAGTGCCAAATCCTACAAGGTCAGTAACAAAAGACTTTGATATGATAATTTGAGCTCATTGCAGATTCAAACTGCAATAAGAGGGCAGGGAAGACTACAGAAAAACCCCACAGCAAAAGTCAGCAGCTCAGAGTTGCCAAGTTTCACTCAACTGCAGACAAAAATCAGGCAGTCAACACCACATCTTCAGCAGAGGCAGCACCATATGATCTCTGTAGCATCCCTCCATCTCATCTGTCTTCAAAGTGCATTCTCAGTGCAAAAAGTAGGATTGAATTTAGAGGGGCCCATTGTCCCCAATGGTTTCATATTAAGACCAGAATTCTTGCTTGAGTTCATATGCTGCAGCTTTGTGTGTGTTAAGTTCACTTCTGCATAGCGGAATGGTGCTGTCCTGGCTCTGCCCCTCAGCATCTATGTCCAGCAGTGTCCGCTCCTCTGCAGGAGGACCCACCTGGAAAGGAAGCAGTGCAGGCAGTCCAGGTCTCTCTTCTACAGTGCTGCTGCTACTAGCAAAACAAGAGTCCAGATTGCTTGGAGTATCAGTACTTGAACTGTTGGCAGAAGATTCACCCTTGGCATTGCTGGGTGACACAAACCACCAGGGATCAAGCCGCTGCCGACTGGCTGCAGGACGTGGCCGAGGCAGGAACTCCAATGTCTTGGGTCTTTCCAGTGTGGAATCCTGCTGTGCATTCCATCGTCTCGGGGTTGGAGGAAAAACAAGGTTGGGGTCTGGCAGGCGAGGGACCTCATTGGGATCTCTGCTTGGACTAGGTGTTTTCAATACACCTATCCAAAACAGACAATGTAAGAGAAGAGTGAAATATGTTAGATATCACTGCTAAATGATTCCAACAGATCTTAAGTTTATTCTATGTACAGTGCTAAAACATTTTCAAAGTAGAAAGCCTCCATTCAGAATTGACAAACTGGATCTTCAGGATTATGCCAATCTGAAGTAACTGGCCTCTTTATCCCTACACTTTATCAACACACTGCAAGACACCTGTTTCACTGACCTAGCACAAGCAATAAGTTTTGTTCATTCTCTCATTTGCTTACTTCAATTTTCAGGCTGGAGAGCATGGATGTGACCTCCTACCAGAGGTGACGACTCTCCAAATCCTTTGGAGGGCACATTATCCATTAACAGCTTGAATGGAACAGGGAGACACTTACACAACAGGATACATGACACCTGTTTGCAGTGAGCAGGACCAACTATCTGGAAGAGCCACTTAACACTACCTACTGCAGATGCTTCCTGGTTTGTTTTAATTTAGAGGTGGGGGTGGTATTTGGTTGATTTTTTTATAAACACAAAACTTTGACAAATACTGTATTAATGAGTGTTCTCAGCTGCATTAACCCACATTTTACTGCAGACTTCCATTCAAAAGACAACCTCACATTTTGTTTTACCACTGGGAAAAGTCAAATTAAAATCAGATTTTTATTTATCATTCTAGTCCTTTTTATTTTAAGTCTGAATTACCGCAGCAAGAAAACAGGAAAACATTTTTCAAGTTACAAAATCACAGCCACTCCTAAAGACTGCAACAGTGAGAACACTACCTACCCAGAAAGACCCCTCTTGTTTGCAAAGAAATAAGAGCAACACTAACACAGTCCAAAACTGTTCTAGAGATCCAGTTTTCACTGCCCTAAAGATCAGAATTTACTTTAAAGTACAAACAAGTGTATAAAGGAAATGGAAATGAAATCCCAAGGCACGGTTAAAAATGTGCAATATTTGTACTTTGGTACCAAGTTTGTCTAAGAAACAATACTATGCTCAGCTTCACAGCACAGGGGAGCAGAGAAAGTTCCTTAGCACAGAGATGCTGGAACAGAGACCATTACTGCATTATTCTGTTAACTATTTGCATAAAGGCAGCATCCATAAGTAATTCTTGTGGCCTGGTCATCACAATGGATGCTGTATAAGCAACAAATAATTATACTGTTTGTGTCTTTATTCTGAAGAGGAAAAGGAAGATGGTTGAAAACCTACCTGCTCCCAATGCTCCAGTTAAACAGCTACTGGAAGGGCATGTACTGGTTGGGCACCCATTGACTAGTCCGCTCCCTTTAATGGCCCCATCAGAAGGTGTGCGCCTGTGCCCGCTCTGCTGAGTGTGGGAAGAGACTGTCACATGTGTGGGAGTCAGGGACTGGTTGGGGTCCTGTTTGAACCTCTCGATCTGGACATTGACTAGTGGGTTGGTAATGGCTGGCAAGGGAGCCTTGACTGTCACTGGGCTGACAGGCATTTCATACACCACAATCTCATCACTGTCTGAGCGCAGCAGGGACCGGGTGGAATTACATTCGGAAATGGAAGACAGGGAAAGAAGGGTGAGGGATGTGGATGGCTCGCCTAGCAACAACATGGGATCGTCCTTCTTGAAGATCTTTCGGGAAGGTGGACTCGTGCTCCTGCGTGGGCGTCCAGCTCGCTGAAAAATGCTATCACGCTTCTTCTTCTCTTCCTTGGGTGCCTCTGGCTCCTCCTCAATCAGCAGCTGACACTTCCCTGCTTCTAACAGATCAAACCCGAGGCCTGCAGCAGCCAGCACTGCTCCACAGCCAAGCAATGCAACCTCACATCGCTTGTGGTGGGAGCCACTACGTTTGAGGCTGTTGGTGGGTGTCAGCTGCGGGGTACTAGTAGCAGAGTTTACAGGGGTGGACTCCTCATTGGCATCACTAGAAGGCCCATCCCAGTCTTCATTCTTTTGAAATGGGATGCAGAGGTAAGACTGATTGTGCACAGGTGAAGGATGCACTTTGCCCTCTCCATTAAGACATTCGCTGTCTTCATCCTCTGGAAAGCAAATGAAAAAGACTTTGCATTGATATAAAATTTTCACTGACAAATTTAATTGTCTTACAAATATACATGAAAATAAGCTTCTCCTCAGAAGATGCAACAGTTCTTATCACAAGCATCATTCATCTACTGCCAAATACTCACACACTATTGTCTCCAAACCACACAGGCTGAGACAAATATCTGGAAACACTATCAAAGTGGAAGAAATTAGTGACATTAATTTATTTGGGACAATTGCAGAACATCATTTCAGAAGCAATCTACACCTCAGTTACTTCTAGAGTAAATTTTTATGTTTGTGAGTGAGGAGCAAAAGGCAGGAAAACTATAAGGATCATTCCTTGCAAGTGAAGGTCTAATCATGCTGTCTGTACATCTAAGTATCATTACACATAAAAGGAGCTGAGAAACAGCATGAAGCTACAGGAGAATTAACAGAAGTTTGTTAGCTTGACAGAGAAGAAGCACAAGCAGAGAGGTGAACAAAAAGAAAATCCAGAAGCAGGAAGCAGATACTTCACATGGAATAAAAGAAAAACAGACAAACAAAATGTAAGGTACCAGGTGAAGGTAAGAAAACAAGAGGTTCATTCAAATATGAATGGAAGTGGGGATGAGAATATCAAGTTCAAGGAATTCCCTTACCCATCTCTGCTAAGCTGGTGAATCCTGGAAAAGCAGGTGCAGTTCTCTGGATCTTCCCAAGGTTTGGTGCACTGGATGACCACTGTTTGCATCCTTCTACCAGAGCTTTTAAACTGAAACAGTAGAAGGATGTGAGAAAATGTAGCATGCTCACAACCAGTTTCCACTCTCCCCTTCTATATTCTCTGTTTATCTACTTAGGGTATGCACGTACCCATCTCAACTACATAGATCTGATGTCCTCCCATAGCAAGAAATTTTGTGACATCTTTACAGTGCCTCAAAATACCAAAAAAAAGTCAAAACACTCCTCCCTCATGGGTTACACCACGACACTCAAAAGACCTCTGCTGATAACTAACAGCTGTGGATGCAGAACAATAGAAAGCCCCACTACAAATATCAGATTTAACATTTTCTTTTGAATTCAAGGCATCTTGATTTCTTCTGCCATCAATCTTACCACGGCAGGTAAAAACTGCTCAGCCAGAGAAGGGCAAAAATACCTCCAAAATTATTTCCATGTGAAATACAAATGAAATTCAAAGATCACTCACTAGAAAAAAATAAAACAATAAGCTAAAGCCACTGTAATAACAAGTTATGCCTCTATATTATAAACCCCAATATTTCTCCTCTAAAGAAAACACTGCATTGAAGTACAGACAGCTAAAAGCACAAGTTCTAGATTACTGGGGAAAAAAACCCAGGTAACTAAAATCATGAATCATGTCATTGTTACTTTTACTTACAAAAAACCCCACCCAAATCAAAAAAGTGAAGAACCCAAAACCAAATCCCTTCTTTGCCCTGTGTCCAAAGTTATGTCACCAGGCACCTGAACTTTTTAGTAGTCCCTATTCATAGGTATTCACTACCATCATCCTATTTTTTCCCTGCAGTAATGTCATGATATCAGACGTGTGTGTCAACATTACAACAACTTTGTTCAGCAGCAGAACTTTCTGACATATCAACACTCAGAGTTTTATCATTCAGTTATCAACACATGAAGTGGATAATTTCTGGTGCCTGTCTCCAAACACCAATATGAAACACTGGGGTGTTGGTGAAAAGCCACATACACTTAGCATAGGTAGGAATTAAATAAAATGAATGAAAGGATCTGTAGATCTCAACTGGACACAGAGAGCACCAACTTGTTATCGAAAGAACAACAGACTTAGGGGATGAGACCTCTTCCAGCTCCATTACTAACTTGCATTGTTCTTTGGTAAGACACTTTATTCATTAGAATCATTCCCTTACAGAGAAAGAGAGAGAGAAGCATATAGAAGTTACCTTTCATGATTTCTATTTTCCACCAGAATCACTCTGCATTTTTAGACAGCTTCCCTTCCAGGATTTCAAAATTTTGTTATATCAGGGATAGTCTTTTGCCTCGGCATGTGTTTGTCCTCTGCGCTCCACCTAATTGGGCTGCCCTGCTTGTCACCAAACTATATTGCAATACCAAGGACACAAAATCTAAACTTGATTCAGCACATGATCAAGTGTCATCAAGTTGATGACTGTGCTATAGACATTACACTAAAAGTATCCTGTGCAGTTCTCAACTCTCTTGGAAGTCCCTCCCCATTAACCATTCTGGCACACACAGTACCCTGCTGTGAACTTGTATCCAGACAGAGTAGTGCTTAATCCTACTTGCCAAGACAGACAACCACATTGCAATTCAGTGTGTGGGTCTGTTCTGATTTACCCTCTCTGTACTATACTCAGCTATGTCACACAACACACCAAGTAACGTATGTTGTATCTAAATTATCGACATGTACAACATGCATAGCTAGGATACATAGTATAAACAGAGATGCATATTCAAGGAACGCTAGTAAGTGAAAATGAAACATATTAGCAGTGTCATCACCTCCAACAGTAAATGTCAAAGCTCTTGCAATACAGGTAGACAATTACTGAGGAAGGAGGATTTCCATGGAGCTGGGAAAACACATACTCTGTTCTCTGTATGGAGATAGAAAAGTCGTAAGTAACAGGCAGGAGTAATCTGAAGTTTAGCCTTCACTTTACAGTCATAGGTATCTAAAGGGTCTTGGAAATTGCTGCTTATTGTACTGCAGGACACACCAACTTAGTTTGCTTCCTTATGACTTCTCAGAGCAATCCTCCCTTGTAAAGAACAGGCTGAAGGTCTGCTGCTACTGTCAAAGCACAGCTCGATCTGAACAGGAAGATAAATAGCTACCAGAATAATTTCAAGGCCTGCTATATATGCCTCAAGGTTATAAAATTTTCATCCTTGCCTTTTATTTTTTGCTTCTCTTCCTTCTCCCCTAAATTACAAACAGACCTCAAAGACCTGTTCAGAAGACAGCTGCATGTCATCTTCATTAGACAGTGCTGTGCATTTGAAAACAATTCAAAACATGATGACTTAAGAGTACATTCCTACTACAGCACTATTGTCTGTTCCTGCCCCAAGGAAACTGGAATGACTTGAAAGAACTAGCAGTAAAATTATATTTCAGTCACCAACATGACAGTTGAGGAACCTAAAGACTTCTTACCTGTAATCTACTTAGATTAACTAAGCAGAAGGTTATTACTTCGTTTTGTTATGGTTGAGTTACTTCTCTGTTGCCTTTTTCTGTTGGGAACTTCAAGGCATCACTCTTTAGGAATGGTATGAAGACAAGGTTTATTTTCTCAGCAAATTGCAAAAAACGTCCCTACAACTGTAAGACAGCATCTCCAGTGTCTTAACATCTTCCTTTAACACCATGTTGAGGCATTAATACAATACTGTCATGAGTAAAACATGTCTGCTCCCAGGCTCATCCCTATCTAGCTTGCAAGATTTTAAGAGATAACTGCTAATACTCCACATCCACTGTCACCATGTGTAAAATCAGTAACACCACCTGTGTGAAAAACAGGGTGACAATCACCCATGCCATAGTCTGTGACTAATCAACGCCAGGTTTAAAGACAATTAAGACTTCACCATATATCCTTGAGAATATACCTTAAGATCACAACTGAATGTCACAACACTAGTCCAACATAAAGCTTCATCCAGTCTGCAATTCAGCACAACAGCCTTCTGCTGCTGTGCATATTCCTTATGCTTGAAGGCAAGTGCAGAAGGGTGAATAATCACGGTACCATCTTTTCATAACTACCTTTACTTGATGTTAATTATAGGTCACTGCAATTCTCACATTATTCTTGCATAAACTCAGAATTATCTCCTGTGAAGAACACATGGAAAGTGACAAAACATACGAAGATTCAAGTTCCCTTGATCACAGAGTCCTGCAAACAGCTGGAATAGCAGCACTGCTGCTACTAGAATGGGGTCATGGAGATCTGAACTGAATTTTTCTATCCTAGGTTTAGCTCTTCACTTTACCCCAGTTTCCCCAGGGTTCAGTATGTGGGTCAGCCCTGTATCTTTACTAACAACCTGGAGGAGGGGATCAAGGGCACCCACAGTCAGTTTGCAGGCGACACTGAGGTGGACAGGAGCATTGATCTGCTTGAGGGCAGCAAGGCTCTGCAGAGGGATCTGGACAGGTTGGATTGATGGACCAAGGCCAACTGTCTGAGGAGCAATAAGCTGAAGTACTGGGTTCTGCACTTTTGTAGCAGCAACCCCATGCAACCCTACAGGCTTGGGGATGAGTGGCTAGAAAGCGGCTCGGTGGAAAAGGATCCAGGGTGCTGGTCAACAACCGTCTGAACACACACTGCCAGCGTACCCAGGTGGCCAAGAAAGCTAAAGGCATCATGGCAGGACTAGTGAAGTGATTGTTCTCCTGTACTCAGTGTGGTGAGGCCTCACCTTGAATCCTGTGTCCAGTTCTGAGCCTCTCACTACAAGAGAGACAGAGGTACTGAAGCATCTCCAGAGAAGGTGAGTGAGCTGGTGAAGGGTCTAGAGAGTAAGTCATATGAGAGGTGGCTGAGGGAGCTGGGGGTGTTTAGCCTGGAGGAAAGGAGCTTCACAGGGGACATTATTGCCCTCTACAACTACCTGAAAGGAGGCTGTAGTGAGGTGTGGGTTGGTCTCTTCTCCCAGGTAACAAGTGACAGGACAAGAGGAAATGGCCTCCAGTTGTGTCAGAGGAGGTTTAGAATAGATACTGGGAGAAATTTCTTCACTGAAAGGGTGGTCAGGCATTGGAATAGGCTGCCTAGGAAAGTGGTGGAATCACCATTCCTGAAGTGTTCAAAAGGTGTGTAGGTGTGGCACTTGGGGATATGGTATAGTGGTTAATGTGGTGGTGCTAGGTTAATGGTTGGAATTGATGATCTTAAAAGGTCTCTCCCAATCTTAACTATTCAATGAATTTTTATCTCCCTACCCTGTAAAATAAGAATTAAAAATACTAAAAAATAGCAAGAACTATCTTTTGAGTCACAAGTGTTTAAACTCTGCAGTCTGGTACAATCTCAGCAAGAAGCAGTACTTCATTGTATGTTAACCATACTGCCCTCTCAGCAACATTATCACATTTCAGACACTCTGCAAAATGTGATAGCTGTATCAAGGCTCCCTAGGAAAGGTTCTAAATAGTATAGAACATCTCAGTTGTAGAGAGAAAAGGATAGTTCTATGAGCAACCAGGTAGCAAGCAACTCCTTTCTAGCTGGATTGCTTCAGACTGTACAGTAATGAACAGAAAACTGAAGAGATTTCTCAGAATTCTAAGAACATGATTTCAAGGTAGAAGTGTTTTACTTCAGTGATCTCCTGCCCTTTTATATAATTAAAGATTGTAAAGTGTGACATCTCTTTTAATTCTGTAGAATGCTATGCTTCACCTATATAATAGGTAAAGCATAGGGAGCAGTTAAAGAAGCTTCTTCCACATTGCCCTGACAACATGCCATGAGTATCTGTGAGAGAACAAGTTATAATAGATCCAGGCCCTCTTGCAGAGGACTGCAATAGTGATGCATTATGCAAACATCTATTTTTCAGGCATTTAACACCTGTGCACACAATAGTAAAGATGAAGATTATAACAGTTATTTTATTTTTCCTGCTAAAAATACAGCAAGAAACTATCAATTTAGCAACTGGGAAAAAGCTTCAAACTCCACTGAAAATCACAAAGCATTCAAACCTCTTAGAAGACCAAAGTACTCCTATGTTTAAAGGAGTCCTGGTATAAATAATTCATACACACCAAAAAAACCCCAAAAGCCACAGAACAATAACAGACAGAAATAGAGGTACAACATGTATCTCTGCAAACATCACTTTCAGGATGTATTCACTCAAGGTACATGTAATTTTCAAAAGACTGAAGAGGAGAAATATTTGCCTGGCTCTACCACACACTTTTCAAATAATAGCACTTTAGACAAGAAAAAGCATATCTGTGAATTGTAAAAAACAAGTAGCTTCAGATATTGTATGAAACTACAGAAACTTGAGCCTTAAAAGATATAAAACCTACCAGAGAAAGAGTTTTCCACAGCTAAGAAGTTTTACTGCTTACAAATAAGCCTAACAACATAATAGCAGACAGGGAAAGTATCAGTCACCAGCAAGGGATTGAATCAAATTTCTGTAACCTATTCTGAATCTCTAACATCTCCGGTACAGGAAGTAAGTTTGAAAGCAAAAAAATGTTTGAAAGAGGATAGGCAAATCCCCTGTGAGCCAGCTCATAACCAGTTTTAGAACCTGGAAATGAGTTGGGCTCCAGGCCCTCTCTTACCCATCTTCTCCTCCACCTAGTTCCTTGTGACAAAGTGAGCTCGGTCCCCAAGTACGTCCCTTTTTCTTGTGACCTCTCTTCTCTTCTTCCTCTCCCTCCTCCTTTGGAAGGACTGAGCTTCGTCCCCATGTTTTACTGCTTTCAGCAGGGGTCACTTCACAAGTAGGAAGAGCAGTGGAAAATGGCAAAGGAAAACAGATACACGAATTAAAGAATTAGTTCCATGGCAACATAAAGAATAAAACATAGGCCAGAACATGAATAGTAACGAAAATGATTTTCCCGTAATTCTGATCATTTATGAACACAGATCTAACAACCAAATTCCTTCAAAATTACTGAAGGTAGGCTGTACAGCTTTAGCCCATCACTGGTTTCTCTTTAGAACCACCAGTCTGATACCAGACACACAAATGTCATGATATCCAATTCGAACACTATTATTTATTTAACATGACTTTCAGAATTCTAATAGATGCACATCTGCCTAATTCTATTTAATTATGGGAACACTAGTGCATGACAAGAGCCCTTGCTTTTATCTCCTTACAACAGTAGCTTAATACACTTCAATAATGTTTCACAGACCTATTCTGCAAATTTGTATTTTTAAAAATTAACCTGTACACCTAAGGAATGTATTTTCTACACAATCAAACAGCAATATTTCAAGAACTTGGGCAAGTACAGTTTTGACTCCAGGGAAGGTGATACTCCCCCCATCACCAGCACACTCCATTTCCTTCTCTAAATCCATACATGCAAGGCACAAGGTAAACATTTTAGATACTTTCTTTTACAGTCCTGTCCTAGATATGGAATCTTGGCATCTTACCACGCTGACAGACTGCACATTTCCCAAATTCAATACTACATTGAGCTCCTTACACTGTATGGCCCTGAGTCTGGGAATAATGGTAGGACTTGCAGGTGGGCTGGAGCAACTACTGATCAAACTTTTCCTTTTATCCATCGTTGGAGAAGCCTGCACAGTGAATTTATGCTGAAAATCTGTTAAGCAAAAGGAAAGAAAAAAAAATCAAAACCAAAGCAGAAAGACACAGTTAAAATTCTCTCTTTTTTCTTTTTTTTTTTTTTTAAATAAGAGAAAAGAAATAATTTATAGTAACTTTCAAGGAGTGCAACTTACAGGATCTATGTAGAAATTAAGTTTTACAGCTAATTGTTATTTACCCATTGAACACACTGTTACTTCAGAACAAAGATGTGCGTTCATATTCTTGAAGACATATCTTCTTAGTGCATGTATAAGACACACACACAGACAGACCCTGTGTGTTGACTGACATTTATGCCAAAGTATGTCCCTGGATAAATTCCTTTCATCTTATCTCTCAGTTTCTTAAGCACCACCAAAACCAGGTGTTCACAGACCTAAGGAAAGGCATAGTTAACATACATATTTTATTAGAATTTCTCTTCTGAACAGCCAGTATCTCCCAGAAATCAAAGAACATGGTGCAAGCCATCATCTTGACATAATGATGAGCCATAGATAATAAAACCCATTTTTATAAATTTGAATCTCCATACAGAATCTGCAGTAGAAATGCTAAGGATTTCTGAAAATAACCATCTTCACTCTTAAGGGTGACTTCTAGACACCTCATTAATATTTAACATTTCTCCCAGAAGAGTGGTATTAGAAGCCACTTGTATGTTAATATGAGTTCACATATGAACGAGCAATCTAGGGCTATGGTCTCATAGCTATCAATGTATTTTTGGAAATTCTTAAGATTCTTGCACCATAAAACCAGTAGATTATGGCTTTGGCATTATGTAAAATATTCCCAGAGCAAGAACCTCCATCACTTTTTAATTACATCCTTTATTAAACTGGTTATTTGGAGTATTAACATGCTAAACTGCAACACCAGCATATTTACCATGAACCATATATAGGCACTGACGAACAAATATGTAACACCTCAAATTTACTTCTAGCCTTCATCTTGGAACTTTGGGCAATGCTAGCCACAAAAGCATCAAATTCAGTTCATTGATCCCAAAGAGGCATGTTTTTCCCAAAGTACATTCAACACTTTCTAATGCACAAATATCACTAATAAGGAGCTACCAAATCTACAGGCTGCTCCCAGTCCACCTGACACAGCCTAACACGTCACCAACCTGAAGGCAGGCTGATATGATTGCCATCCTTTAACTTGAGCCGGCTCCTCTTGAACTTCCCCATGCGTTTCTTCACCCGAGGCTTCTCCTGACACAGCTGGTGGATGATGATGTTGAGCTCCCTTTCCAGGATGTCAATCTCACGTTCTGCCAGCTCCTGTTCCCGCCTTCGTAGCAACTCCTCATGGTTCTTCTGTTCAACAGCAGCACGAGTCAGCTCTTCTTCCCATGTGCGCAGCTCCTGCAGGGAGATAAAGTAGAAACAAAAAGCTACCTTGTGACCCGTGGGTTAAGACTAACATTACCTATTCTGAAGGTACAGCAGCAATGACTTGTGCTCACTGCTAGTACCAGTTTAAAGGCTCAGCTGAAAGCCACAAACAATCCTCAAGGACTTCTGTGCTTGCTGTTCAAGGCGCTTCACACCAGTATTGAAATTTGGACATCAGCACTTGTGAGGGCACACCTGAAATCTTGGGTTAAGTTCTAGGCTCTCCAGTACAAGACAGACATGGAAGAGAATCCAACGAAGGGCCATGAAGATGATTAAGAAATTAGAGCACCTCTCCTATGAGAAAAGGATGAGGGAGATGGGACTGTTTATCCTAGCAAAGAGAAGGTACAGATGGGTTGAAGGGGGATCTTAAGAGTTTATATAAAAACCTGAGGGAAGGGTGCAAAAAAGACAAAGGCAGACTCTCTTCAGCAGTGTCCAGTGATAGGACAAAAAGCAATGGGCACACACTGAAGAACAGGAGACTCCCTCTGAAGGCTTTTTGCCTGTGAGCGTTGCTGAGCACTGCGAACGGGTTGCCCAGGAAGGTTGTAGAGTCTCTCTCTTGGGGATATTCAAAAGCCATCTGAACATAGTCCTGGCAAAGATGCATAAGGGAAACTTTTCAATCTATACCTTGTAGACAAAATGAAGCAACTGAAACTGTCCTTGAAATCTCAAAATGTCCTCTCACTGCATTCCTCTCCTCTCAGCACAAGGACAAAAGAATTCAGCACTCAGAATAATTCTCTCTAGCTGGTTAACTCCAGGGCAGAAGGTAAAAACTGAAGAATCCAAGTTAAACTTCAGAGAGCTAAAATCGTTCTGATTATCTTAGATTTCTTTGTTAATAACATTATTGTTCCCTGTCTCATCACCACGGAGATTTGGTACATTTTGCTCATCAAGTGAACAGCATATAAAATTATTTCCCCATTGCTAAAGAGGAATAGATTACTCATCCTGAGGGCAGTCTAGTTACTACTGTTTGGCTTTCTGTGTAGTTCCCAGTTTTCAAAAATTGCTCCAACACAGTTATGCCATCGGACAACAGCAGCAGGTAAATGCTTCTTAGCTATTATCATATGTTTTAGATATTGTTGTAGGATTTCTCTGCTCTGACCCAAAGTCTCCTTTTCCATCTCTCTGCCTCCTAAATCCAACCTCTGAGTCCAAATCAAGTTGGCTGCTTATTATGAATTTATTTTTAGGCAAGAGACCATGAATTTAGAAAAATATTAAATCTTCAGCAATTTTGCTGCAGTTTTTCTTACCAACAACTGCAAAGAGTCTCTGTAAGGACCTTAACTTAGATGCAATGAGCTGTGCTTCCTGCAAGTACGCATGAAGGAAACTTCAGATTTGCCAATTCTCTTCCTCGGGGCTGATGGTCAACGTTCTTTAATTCCTGATAGCATTTTTGTTTCCTGCTATTTGCTCAGAGGAACTTCAATTATAACAGTTACTGGGCCATCTACCTGCTAGCACTCGTGTTTATTATAGTCTATCGCTTCGGTCATGCTCGAAACCTGAAAAAGACAAATCTGGCAGAACCAAAGCTGCAATGTTTATATCAGAGTTACATATGCTGAAACTACTCCTCCTATTTCTACTCTTAACCATTACCATCAGGCTTCTCAACTAAGATGCTAACAGTGAAACAGTTATCAGATACATTAAACAATAAAGACAACACACCACAGCATCTTGTGCAGTGTATAATGGAAGCTCACAGCAATATTAGAAAGAGTAGCAGCTCAGGATGCAGATATTTATTTTTCTCATGATTCTACCCTTGTGTGCATCATAACCTGCCATTGATTCAGGGAATTAATACAAGCTCCACTAAAGCACAGACAAAATTAACTCTGGGATGCACTAAACAATTATCCTTGTTTGAATTGTGAAATGGGGAAATTATAAGCCAGAGAGCACAAGCAGAGAGTGTTCTCTACTTACCTTTTCTTTGGCTCTGAGCTGATCAAACATCTCTTGGATCTCTTGTTTCCAATCTTCCTGCAGGGAGTGAAAGGAATCTTTGGGCATTTCAAAGAAACCAGACTCTTCTATGGCGGTAAGGTGGTCTAGGACACTGGCAAAGGAAGGTCGTGAGTGTGGGTCAGGGTTCCAGCAATCTAGAACAGGACAAAGACAAGCAACAGTCAAGCATCTCTAAGTACACAGGCTTGAGAGGATGAGTAGTACTTTACTGATCCCCAGTGGCTAAGAGTGGCATGCACACTATCTGGGTTAACCCATCTTTCCTACTTGCATTGACTATTACTGAGTATGGAATTTATGCTTTCATGCTTATACAACATCCAACATCATTTAAGATCTTGAACCACCTAACTACCTGGTCTCTAGGTTCTATTGCAATAATATGCCACATAAAACAGAGGTTTATTTATTTTACAGAAAGTTACATTATCAAGCATTTAAAAAAAAAACCTAATAATTTCCCTAAAATATTTTGCTTTAAGATGTATATATGTGGTCACAAAGTCGAAATACTACGCAAGGCCCTTGCAAACAGTTCTTTTAGCATAGTTACACTGCAGAGTTAATAGTCATACTGCAGGAGGATATTTACCAGAGTTTTTTCTAATGCCAAGCTCTAATACTAAGCTGAGTCATTATGAGTCTCTTCCTCAGGACTGGAAATCTCTCCTGCAAAGCAGACTGGGCATAACTTGATTGAAGGTAGGAGATTCAAGCAAATAATGACATCAAATAGTGCATTTGGAGTTTTCTTATTTTTAAGGGTTCTTTTTTATTACTTGAGAGAAAACTGTTTGATCAGACTTTTTGCTTTTGCTTTTAAGAGAAACCAAAGTTAAATGAGTTTTTTCATTTACAATCTAATGCAATTACTTAGCCAATTACAGAGCTCTAAACCCACAGAATTTACCGTAGCTATCTCACCACATAAGGCAACTCAATGAGCAACAATACAATACAGTGATGGGAATTTAACACTGAAAACAGAAACAGAAAATGGTATGAAGTAGCACCGCAAGATATGAAATCACTACACACACGTATAAAAAGCCATTAAGTCAAAAACTTTGATTTAACATCACTTTTAAATAGGAAATTTTTACTCATTCAGTCCTTCCTCTTCCTTCACCCTCATTTCTACTCCTTCAGAAAACAACACTTCCTCATTCTATGTTGTCCCATACTGGCACTTACAGAGGTTCTTGTATAACAAGTATCCTTATTCTCTTTAGTACTGATAGACTCTCGGAATGCCAAAATTTGAGAGCAAACAAACAGACAAACTTAACATTCAAGTGTATTTCTAGGGAATACAGATCTTCTGCATGAACAAAAGTAAAAACACATGGGTCTCTCTCAATATGCTCATACTATCATTGCTCTACATGGTTGCTGGATTGATGACATAAATTACCACAGCACAGGGCAAGAGTTACAAAAATGTTCTAGAAGTTTTCTAGACCTTAAAGTCAGAAAAAAAAGGAAACGTTCTTAAAAATATTTAGTGATGCCCTAAAAGACATTCATTCATCAGTTTTTGTGGAGTGAAATACACCAAGGAGCAGCTGCAACTAAAAATAAATACGACTTCACAAAATCTGTGCAACTGTTAAGGCTTTGGTTTGCGGGTCTTTTATTTGATTTTAGCTTTACTGAGATTTTGCATTTGGGAGCTTTGGTTTCAACACTGCAGGTATCAAGCTGCTGGTATTTAAGCATCTGATCAGGCTCCATGAGGCATAAGCTGGAACGCATTTGTGTTTATGGCTTTCAAATTGCTTCTCTTACCAAAACAGAGAACTGAGGATGTTAAAGAGTGCTCTGAAGGTCCCCTGCTGCTGACCAATTAGTAGCAATGGGTGTTACAGCTGGACTGTCAGTGCCATAATCCCTGTCTCTTTACCCCAGGTTTTAAGCATGGCAAAGCAAACATGACCCAAAGTAAAACAAAATGCTGCAGCCAGCCAAATGCATGAATGAGTGAACAGGATAACTAGCAGGTGGCCCGTGGCTTTTATTTTCCCAGGCCTAGATCTGCCATTATTTGCACTAATGAGGACAGTTGTAACATACAAGTCGTTTCTGTGAAGAGCAAAAGTTCAGCTTTGTTGTCTCAGTGAAGACCACCAGGGCAGTAATTCAAAAGTAAATGCAGCATTAGGGGGAACAAGAGTTCACCCGAGATGGGAAACAGCCTGTGTGAAAAACAGTTTTGGTGAAGGGGCAGAAAGTAATTGGTTTTTTTGTTCTTGCCTTCCCCCGCACATGGAGAAGCCAAGCGTTCCAAAGCCATGTGGGTGCTCACCCCTGTGCCGCTGGGTTCAAGCACTGGCCATATGCCTCTACCTGACTTTCCCAACAGAGGGCAATATTTTTAGACCCAGCTGCAGACAGCTCACTTGAGTTAAGAAATCCAGGGGCCTTCTTTTAGGGAACCATGACAAAACAAACTGCCCTGGCACAACACTGAGCTGATAGTTCCAGTAACTTTCAGACACAGTTGCTTGCTTTACATTGCTTCCAAGCTACTATACCTGCAACACTGCTGCAGTTTACTATCCAGTAGGATATTTCTTTTTTAGCAGAACAGTACATGAAATTTTCTACTTGAACTTGACTGGCACCTGTAACTTACAGAAATGACCAGAGAAATGCAAAAGTATTCTAAAAGCAGAGAAATAGATCAGAAATATTTTCTTACATTAATCATATACCTTTCTTGGGGCTAAAAACCCCACCAGCAGCCACAGAGTATCAGTTCTACGTTGAGACTCATTCTTTGCTCACCAAGACTTCAAAGAAAGTTCTCTCTCTCTTTACCTCAGTTTTTCTTTCTGTCAGATAGTTATAAAAATGTTTCTTACATATAAACACCTGGAAATCCTTGGGAATAGGGACAGTGAAAAAAAATGCTAAAGGTACCACTGGGAGGATGGGAAAGAGGAAAAGGAGGAACAGCTGAAGCTCAGGAGACATGCAAGTAGTTGCAATAGCCAGCAGAGCAGGTCACTAAGTAGACCCCAAAAGCTGCCTCACAGAATCCTTTTCAGAATCATCACAGCAGCTCTGATGACAAACTGCAATATTTATTTCTTCTCTATGTAGCCCACTTTGGGCATTAACTATCTCCACACACAAAGCAGAAAATCACATCTTTCTGACTGAAAATATGAGTCGTTTTGAAATGCCAAAGCCACATTTAAACCCTCTCTATGAAATGTCAGTAGGATAAAGTTTCATTCCAAATCAATCAGACACTGCCTAGCAAGATGTTCAAGCTCTGACTTCTTTTAAGAGTTGAAGACTTCAACCTAGACCAAAATACGTTAAGTTTTGGTGTTGGTGACTCTTCACTACTAGAAAACAAGCTAGGTGATGACAGCAACAGCTCCCATTTTCCTATAAAGCCAGCTGATAAAAATGGCAGAGAAATCTCTATCCCTACTCTTGCAATAGAGTAGCTACCACAGCACACCACCAGCCAAGCCTGGCTCCCATAATAACCTGCACCACTGAGTAAAGCCATTTGAGAAATCTGTCGTCTTAGGTATCAAAACCAACACAAAGATGCAATGCTGAACAGCACTCTAGAAACAGCACAAACCACACTCCCACCACAGCTGGCTTACCTTCCATGAGTTTGGCAAAAGGCTCTGGACACGTGGAAGGGATTGGAAGGGCAAGTTTATTCATGGCAACGCCGTATGCTACTGCAAGACCATCGATTCCTCGGAATGGTACTTCTCCTGTTAGCAGTTCCCAAAGCAGCACACCATAACTACCAGGAAGAAAACAGAAAAGACAATAGGTGTTTGACTTTAACAACAAGAAGGTACCTGAGCCTACTAGACTGAGTCTAGTATCCTAAAAAAATTGCAGATTTCTGGACAAGCTCATGATGACTGCCAAGCTGGTGATGTGCCTTATTTTACCTGCATTTTTAAGTAAGTCTGAAATAAGATGCCATTTTCACCTTTTAGGTAAAACCAATTTTCTCTCTGGAAACCTGGAACAATCTGAAAACCATAAATCTTCTAACTAATTTAGCAAAGTTGTTGTTTGGTGGGTTGCGATTTTTAAAAATAAGTGAAAAATACTTCTTCAGAATTAAGTTGTTCTTAAGATGTTCTACGAAATATAAACTACGAAGTTATGGAAATAGTTCAAGAACTGTTTTCCCCCAAAGTATATGATGAACAACATATCCTCAGAATATTCTCTCTGCTTCAAGGAAACCTGAGCCAGCAACTGCTTGTTCATACTTGGTGACCTGACAGGTTTTTCTGCCATTGATCTGTCTTACTCTCTTCTGAACCCATTTACCATCCACTATGTTCTCTGGTAGTGAACTCCACAAATTTAATGATGTATTGCCAAAGAATACTTCCGTGCATTTGTTTCGAGCTTGTCACTTGGCAATTTCATTTGCTTCCCTGTAGTTCTTTCAACACAAGAAAGAGCGAACATATGTTCCCTATTAGCTTCTTCCACGCCATCCATGATTTCACAGGCTCCCATACATCCTGCCTAAATCATCTTTCCAGCCCCCCAAATCCTAATCTAGCTAAATCCTAATCTATTTACTATCCCAAACAGAAGCCATTTCATATCTTTCATTGACCTTGACATCTTCTGTTGGAAGGAACAAAGTTTTAAAGATTCAGGGAGAGGCACAAATGGTATTGCTTGTTTACATCCTTGTTTCCTTCCTATTAAATTTTAATTTGCCACTTGCCTTTCTGACTCTTTACAGAACGCACTAGGTTACCCACAGTAGCTCCAGTATCTTTTTACTGAATTATAATAGTAAAATTTAGAGCCCATCATTGTACACGTGAAATTCTCCCATGGCTACTATTTTGCATTTATTACCATTACCATCTATTATATCACTCATTATAGTAAAACTTTTCCTCAGCTCTCTGCAGTAGATTAATTTATCTTAATCCTGAATAACTTGATATCATCAACCATGCTACCTAACCATTTATTGTTTTTCAAATCACTCATGATTGTGTTGAAGACAAAATTCCCCACCAAGGAAACTGATTTATTTCTTTAGTAATTAAAAATTAACTAAGTGATGGGAAGAACACTTACCCTCTTTTCCCCCATCATGTTACTTTCTTTAAAATCTTTTGATCAAAGATTTTGTTTAAAGTCTTTATAAATCCAAATATAGTAAAAACAATCTTACCACTTATCCACATACTCAGTAACTCCTCCAAGCATTTTCACTTTTTCCAAAGGTATTACATTTTATTCTCTTCTACAAAAGCTGACTCTTCCCCAGATATGCTCATAAGTCCACCAGCTCGCTGCTCCTTAGTGCTGTTTCTACCATTTAGCAGAACTGAAAATCATACTTGCTAATCCTCAGGAAGCTCTTTTAAGACCTGTCACCATGTTTGCTGCCTTCCATTTCTCTGGTACTACAGCAGCTTTAAGCAGTAGATTACACAGCAGAGCTATTAACTCAGCTGACTCTCATGTTCTTGTAAAAATCTTGGGTGTTACTGTAAATCTCAGTGATTTGTTTCTGCTCACTTTATCAATCAGTTTTAACCCCTCTGTGGACTGTACTTCAGCAAGATAAGTCTTCCAGCTTGGCTCCCTTAAAGAGAAATTGAAAAAGTCTCTCTGCTCCACTCTGCAGACACAAGTCACTGTTTTTTTTCTGTTACAGCCTTATCTTCTTTATACTCCTACATCTTGGTCACCTCTGGGCTGCATGTTCTCCTGTGCAGGGTTCTCACCTGTGTTGCATTTGAAAGTAATTTATTAGGTTTTATGCTTTAAGATGACTTTCCTCAAAACCCTTTTATCATCTTCTGTGTTTTATGTTCAACTTGCCAGAGCTGAACTCTATGCCAAATTTTCTTCAGTTGGATGCAGATTCAACTTTAGAAGGATGCCTTCCAGCAGTCACTTCTACATTGCCTTCTTCATTCTTTTAAAGCCTTTCCTATATATTCACTCAGAGCTTTAACATAATGTCCTTAAAAGGTATCCATGATACATGTTGCCTTTTGTTGTTTATACACAAAATTCATCAATGTTGCCATGAATCTCCCTGAGATTAAACACTACTGTAATGGACTAATTTTTCTTGATTGCTCTTGCAGAGATATTGAACCTAAGCATACATATATTTGGATCATGTCATACTGTACAGTCTTGAAGGCCTCCTAAGCATACCTAAAGACCAAATTAAGAACTGCTTCTCCTCCTAAAAGCTCCTTAAACAGCTGCTCTGGGAAACAGTAATTTTGAAGCTAACAGATTGATCTTTTCTTGTTTCAAAGCAACTGTTGCCCTATCCATTTGGGAGTACACTATTACAACCTGTACTCTTGCAATCTCCCCTGACTCTACAAAGTCTTTAACATTCATTGCAAATGCTGACACCTTTTCATACTTTTTCTATTTAGGTACAGGATTTTACTCACTAAAGATTCTGCCCTTGCTGCTAACACAGCTAGCTTACTTTATGAAGCAAAATATCATTTTTCACCTAGGTAATCTTTTGCATACTCTTGATATTTTAATTGTAATTTATTACTTCTTACCATCCCAAGAGTCCTATTTGGAAAAAATAAACTAGAGTTTGTGGAGTTCTCATTTTCTTTTTGGCCTCCTAGGATTCATAAGACACTCAAAAGAAAATGAATGCTGGACTGAATGTATACTTGGACTGTCTAAATCTGATAATTCATGTTTGGATGCAACTGTTGATATCAAAAGGCAGTAAAAACTACCAAAGAGCTGTGTTATTACCACTAGTGCTGGATAAAGCACTACTGATGTGCTTGAAGTATTTCTTCTGCAGGGTAATTATTAAAAGACATCTGGTCTTTTTCAGTGTCCCTCAATGCATGTATTTTGGGGAAATAAATAGATGGATTGGCGTTTCTTCTAATGTGACACTAGAAGTGTATATTGCAGGAAAGGTCACTTCGCTTCTGACAGAAATTAATGTCACTTCTTCCTCACCTACCTACAGTTCATTGCTGAGAACACTGCTTCACCAGAACTAGGGCAGTACTAGTTTGTGGCACTGGAACAACAATCCCAAGTGATTAAACAGCTTGAACAGTGTTTTCCATTCACTCTTAAGCAGAAGATTGGGAAGTACAAAGGAAAAAGTCAGAGTCAAAAGACCTATACAAAAAAGGCATAGGAAGAAAGAAACAAGGGCCTCTACTCATATTCAGCAAGGAGAAAGAAAAACTGAACAAGCTAATTTATTTTGCCAGCACACAGTAGTAACTTTTGGGCTTTCATTACAAAATGAACCATGTGATACAGACCATGCATCCAAGTCAACTGACACTTGTGTGAATAATTAACCATCTTTTGGTGATCCAGTAATCTCTTAAGCCATTTAACATCAGGTTCAATCCTACACACTGGATTTTCAGGGCAGGGAGGCTGGAGGTCTGCAGGATTTCACATGTGATTTTGCCACCTCCCTTGCTAGTCTGTGAACTTATAAAAAAAGCAGTAATTTCTTCTCACTGGTATTATTCCCTGGCATTTGTACCATAGGTTTCTCTTATCCATTTCCCAAGGTTTAACACTTTCCATGAGGAAGGAACTATCAGCCCAACAAAAAGATCCCAGTTCCAACAGAAACCACAACACTACTTTGTTAAGAAAAAATCCCCAACTTAATTACAGTTTAATTGCTATTAACATTAGCATTTTGCATGTTATCGAACTGGCAGTTCCAGAGATGACCTTTCCTGCTCATTTCACAACAGTCAGTTGAGTGTGCTTCTCCCAGGTGAGTTCCTACTAATACTGCTAGTCAGCACTTATCTTGCAGGTACTGAAGTCTTGTCAGTGCTTCATTACACACAAAGACTACAGAAGCCTGCAAGCAGTCAGTTTTGGATAGAAGTGCTCGGCCAACACTTGATGAAAACAGAATATAAATAAAACCCCAAAGTTTCTACAGTGAGCACTGAATGCCTGAAACTTCATGATCTGCTAATCCAATGGTTTTAGCTACTGCTGGTATTGCATTCCTAAATGAAATTAAATTCCCAATTATTTCACTGGTATCAGAATAAATACATCTTAAAAGCATCAAAATTGAGGAACACAGAGAACTCAGATGAAGGCTGCATGGTGCCTTTATACTCCACACACCAATCATACTGACAATGACTGTCTTTTAAGCAGCACAAGTAAAAAATGAAGTGTGCAGCAACAAGAAATACATTAAAGCAGTCAAATGTCAGGGAAATTTGATTTATATGCCTGCTAACATTAATTTGCTGTACAGTACTGCATAAGCTGCACTATCCATGCTTCAACTTTGCCCCTGTAAATCCAGAGCAAGTAAAACCACATAAATAGATTTACAGGAACTGATTTGTTTAAATAAAACTGTATCTGTCATTTGTGTATCAAGATCTCTACTGGATAGCAAAAGTCTGTGGGTACAGCACAGCAGAATTCACAACAACAAGTTTTCACTAGCAAGATTTACTAAATATTGGTACTGTTAACAAGCTTTACAGTGGCCCAGACCCTGGTGATAGATATCAGTGTGTGGGGCCAATCCTCACTCTTAAGCTCTTTGCCAACCCTACTTTAGTGGGACATAAGAAAAACAGTTGAGTTTTTTAAATGGAACTTGATACAGGATGAAACAGTTTGTTATGATTAAGACTGACTCGGGAAATTTCAGTCCTGGCAAGCATCTTCTTCAGCATCTTCTTCACATGTTTGTGCAGTTGCAGTGAGAACACAAGCAGAACAGGATTCTTGTTCAAAGGCTGGGCAACAATTCAGCCAGTGGTATTATTTTAATAAGCTTTACAGAAAAGGTGTTGAAATAAAAGGGTTTGTGAATGTTAGAGAGAGAGAGAGCCAATTCTGTGGATGCTGCACAGACTAACTGGAAGGTTGTCAGGGGAAAAAAACTCCCTCAACTCCAGTGATTAACTGAGAGGTTGAACTGGACAAGAGGAGGGGCAAGTCTAATAGGATAAGAAGAGTTCATCCTGTTAAGAATTTCAGGTTGCATCCTTGGGTGGGGACAGGATTTATTACACGTCCATGACTGGTTTTGTAAAATCTAGTACATACAGTCATTGACACACTAGTAGCAAGTGCACTGGCAAGTATTTGGCCTCTGCATACATGCCTCAACCACCCTGTTCTCAGCTTATTTAAGTATGAATCGAGGTTTGGGCCACCAGAGAAAGGAGGTTTATTCAGAGACAGTATGTAAGTTCTCCTAATGGTGATGACACTCTGTTTAAGGGAGAGAATTGTGAGGAACTCAAGCTAATTTCACCAAAGAATGGTAAATGCAACAAGAGAAAGCAATGAAGGAATCTTAGAAGTAGAAATACAGTATTCTGAAAAGCTAACAAATAATTTATTTACAGTCCTTAAGTCCTGAAGTGATTCACAGTGCTTACATCAATGACCAAACTGGTATTTTTGTACAAGTACAAAGCCACTTTGTGCTACCTTCATGAAAATCACCAACAGACCAATTAAGCCTTACCTTCTTTCAAATGAGCTCATACTGGTACAGAACATGTACTGATCTCTTCACAACATGCCTGGATTAGTAAACTTACAATTACAGTGAAATGGCTTCCCCGTTCACTTGTCACTCTCCCTCAGGTTACCCTCAAAGGCCATTCCTGGCACTGAATCAGACAAGACCAAGTTGAGGTTTGACCTTGACAAGCTGTGTACAAACCAGGACTGTCATCATGTGCATGGAAAAGGTGCACAGCCTTGAGATTTTCATTTCTGCCAGACTTCACTCAGAGTGAAAGCCTGGTTCTTGCTCATTTTGTCTCAGATTAACTACAGAGGCTACCACATTTAATTAGAGAGTCAGATTTTATCTGCACCATTAGTGTGCAACATAAAAGTTCACATATTTATCACAAGGCAATATGTAATCTATTCAGCAAACCTGGATAAGGGAAATGAAAACCCCCACTCTGTCATAACCGCCAGACAAGTCTGCCAGCTGGGATATTTCTTTATCCTGACAGCTTTCACAGCATGCATGCACTTGTGTTGGAGCATTACTGGCCAGTGACAAAAACGAAGTCACCCTGACATTTCAACAAATCTCCACAGGAAAAACAAAATTCTCTCTCCTTCATCTGTTTCAGGTGTTCAGTACTAATTCTAAGTCATGCAGCATCCAGAAAAGTCACTGTCCTAGAGGTATTTACTGAATTCTGTATTTACCAATTCACTTCATGGTGGCATTCAAACTCAGCTTCTGGAAGTGCATGGGCTGACCCTCACACTCCTCTCACCAAATTAGCTCATTCACAAAAAGCCAAGTGCATGAATGGAAAAGACAATGTATACATGCAAGCTACTGCGTATAGATTACATACTCAGACGGACTTAGATAAGAGATTTATAACCCTATGTGAAAGACTAGGAGGGTGGAAATAATTAATAAGACTGTTATGAAAGCAAAATACATTGTATTTGGATTCAAACTGCATGGGGAATTCAGTTAAGTACAGTATGTTTGTGCACATATACATCAGCAACATATTACTACCAACACAAAATTATCTTACTGTTGGTAAAACAGTAAAAAAAAAAAGTACTTCACAGATTGTTTTACAGCCTTTGATTATGTCAGCCAATAGCCGAATAAGCATGAAAACTTTGGTTTAGATGAAGCAGAGGGGATTTGGATTATGAGTCTTAAAATAATCTGAATGCAAATTTATAGAACAATAAAAATTTATACAGGAGTTGATCCACCACTTTCTTCAGTTAAAAACAAGTCCGAGAGTCTGCTAAATGGAAAGCTGGTGGACAGCGTTTTCTTAGGACTTGAATTTTAATACTTGATTCATCATTACTCATTCTTAAACATAAAAGAGGTTTCCTGGCAGGTCTAGTTACTCTTTAGTACCCAATCACTTAATGCCAAATCAATACCTCCACACATCGCTGCCCTTGGAGAACATGGAGGAGCGGATGACCTCAGGAGCCATCCAGGCATATGTCCCAGCTGCGCTCATTTTGGTAGTTTTATGCCATTCCCTGGCCAAGCCGAAATCCGTGATCTTCAACACCTTGTTGCTCAGATCTCCATTTTCCACCTTTTCGAGTATCAGTACTGGAGAAAAGGGAGGGGAGGGGAATAAAAGGTATGCAGAGTAAAGCTAGTATTTATGTAAAAAAAGATTCTCCTGGAGATTGCCTAAATTTCAAGATTCTCCCTGGCTTTTTGTTATTCAAATGCACCATACTCCATTACAAGTTATTTCAGGCTGATCCCTTCATCTGACAACTGAACAGCTGCCTAGCAAATAACCCCAAATTTCACCAAAGTACCAAGCCCCAGAGAACAAATACATAACAACATAATTATTTAATATAGTGCCTAGTGTCATTCTGTAAAATAATTCTCTGCTAAGAGGAAGTGAACCACTGTAACTTCTAGAAATCCAGATAAGGGAAGGCATTTCCTAATTAATCCTCTCTCAGCAAGCCAGTAATAGCATCTTTTTCTTGAACTGCTTAGAGGACTTTTTTTTTTTTTTAATCCAGATACAGACACAGGCAGGATATACCTTCATGTAAATGTGTTAGGAGTGGAAGCTCTAAGCACGAAATTTATTCTTTTTTTAAAGTCACAACTGAAAAAATATATTTATGATTGGTAACAACATGCCCAATTCCAGCCTTCACATACACCATCATAGATTCCCTCTCCCATCATTATTAAACTATTTTTCAGTTAAGCTGCAAAGGGTTCTCCCATGCTTCAGTGGCAAACGAGTCTATACCCAAAACCACCTTGAGGCAGAAGTCAAGAATGCTTTGGTATAAGGCACATATTCCTCATTAGCCAGGAAGTTGTACTGTCATACCACTGTGAAATGAGTGCAAACCCAAGGCCATAAGTATCCACTCTGCTTTAGCAGCATCTCATTATCCTCTTTCTTAGTGTGAAGTGACCACATGAGTTGTGTCAGCAACAGAAAAGGGCACTAAACGTCTATAACTACGTAACTGTAAGCTCATGAAATGATTTTCAGTCACTTTGTAACGGGCCACAAAGAAAAAATATTTGTATTACCATCAGTCCAAAGACTTCACAGCAAAAATCACCAAGCCACTAATACATCATTACACAGCTACTCTGTCTTCAATGTCATTACAGACACTACAGACACAGGTTCTTAGAAAACATGAGGGATTTTTTTTCCTTTTCTATGTATGCATGAATTGCAAAAAATACCCCAACAGACAAAAGAAACCCCACAACCACCCATAATCAAACAATCATGGATCAGAACAAAACCTATGAAAGGCAAAAGTGCTGCAAAAATTACAGAACATATGAAAATAATCTTCAGGACCATTTTTAGCAGTCCACAAAAAGACTTGTGTATCAGTCTCAAGCTAATACAGCTTTTTTTTTTTTTTTGGGGGGGGGGGAGGCAGGGAAGGGGAGGCAGAGGAATCTTACATTCATTCTCATACATCCCTCCAATAATCCAGATGGCATTTACAATTAAATAAAAGCCAAAAGCATTATTTGAACCCTTCTGCATAATAAGTAACAGCCATCTAAATGCTGAAATACTGCATTTACTTTTATTAAACATAAACAAATCATCTGTCCTTTGAAAATTTAAAAAAAGACATCAGTTACCCTTTCTACGAGGCTTCAAAATTCATAAAATACTGCTTCAAATATTTTTGTGGGACAACTCAAGCTGTGAATAAATTAGACCTATGGTTAAGCTCTTGGTTCTTGCTTGCCTTGCAAAATTCCTTTCTAACATGACTGAATGCTCCATTTTCCTAATTGCAGAGAAAAGAGGAGAGTGAGACCTAGAGTTACTATTATCTTCATCTGAGTAAAAGCACGTGCATTTTTAGAGCCACACTTCAGTGTAGAACAGAATCACCACAAGAACCCAAGGTATAGAAGAAAGTTTCCTTTGGGCCTCTTCTTCTAGAAAGCCTAACTTTTTTCCTTCTTTCTAGCAGATGAAGAACTGTTAAGAGAAATTGCTAACAAGTCACTCATTGACTGCAAAGTGAAAGGCTTACTAGAATATATATACGCTTCTTTTCCTAGCATGGTACCCATCTTGCCTGAAGAGCTGGCAGAATAACAAAATCTAATTTTAAATTTAAATGCAGTAACATGGAGCTGCACAGTGAAGTTGTAAAGGTAAAGCAAAACTTTGAAACAAGAAAGCATGTGTTTGGTTCGGGGTTTTGCTTCCCTCCATAAGCACAGTGAGGAACAAGCAAATTTATTGTTCATGAGGTAGATCAGATTCTGTCTGAATGAGCTCAATAGCTAGACAGAGAGCCAAATACCACAGTTGGTTGGTACATACCTTCCTGCTAAGAGGTTATTTAAATCTAATTACCTTGATTTGTATAAAGGCCTAACAAAATAATTAGTACTTACACAGATCTTTTGTATCCAGAACTTGTTCTTTTGTCAGACAGCAGAGTAGTAAGAAAAATTACCATGACAAAAGACCACTGAGAAGGACAATGAAAGAGCTGGATTTTTTGCAAGTCCTTGATTCCTTAGTTACATCCTTGGCTCCTCTCCTGTTTCCTTGTAATAACTGCTTGGGATAATAATCTCACAATCCAAAATTAATAATAAAAATGAATTAAAAAAACTGTATCTCTTTCCAGCATCTGTTTCAGTTCTGCTTATCATTATAATATTATTCAGTATCAACAGGCTCACGTGTAACTGCTAGGAGTCTCCCTAGCCCATCTGTCAGATTTTCAAACCAAAAACCTTGACTCTCCCCCCTTGCATTTGCTTCAATTTCAATGAAGCATCTTGTAAATAGGTGAAATATGAATTCCTTTCCGTTTCCTCCTTAAAATTCTCTTTTATGGAGAACACAAGGCAGGTTCCTCCTTAAAATTCTCTTTTATGGAGACACTGCTAGGACACTGCAAATGCATTTTACTTATGCTAATCAGTACAGTCTCGTTTGCTTCTGAGTTTCATCTATGACCAGTTATTGTGTCGTTTAATCCTCTGAGTGCAAGTGTTCTTCTGCAAGTACTACTTCTTGCACTCATATTAGTCATCACAAAACAAACAAGAAATGTGAAACACAAACAAGGAACATACTTCGTACACTTAGAGAGTTAACACACCTTTCCATCTTGGAATAGGTCTGATCACTCAGGACTGACCTAACAGTGGCCAGATGATCAATACCTGGCCTATCAGAACAAGTTCAGAAACAAAGATAGAGAACTTAGACCAAAACACAGCTAATGTATCAAGGCAGTATGTCTGCTCATTCTTGCCTGCTGACCTCAAAGAGCTGCATGAGATACAGAGGTTTAAAAAAGAGCAGAAAATTGAATAGAAAACCTTTCACATTCCTGGCCTTAAAAAGACAAATTATTTTGCAGCAAAGACACTGGGCCTAGTTTTCAAGCTACAGGGGAAGAAGGAGATCCGAATCACCACAATCATGTAGAATGTGTGTCAGCCTGTTAGGGGTGGATCAGCCTTTCCCTGTTCCAGCAGGGCCCATGCAAGAAATCTCTTCCTGTGTGCATGCACAGAGCCAGCCAGGTTGTAGGAGAAGGTATGCTATGTATTCCTGCCCCTCTTTTGCCACTGTAGTGCAGGCTAAAGGCTGATCGTAAGCAGCATGGGTAGGAGCCAACTGGCAGTGTGCAGAGGGGACTGGTGAAGCCAGTTGGGTATTACAGGCACATTCAGACAGCTCTGAGCAGCCAACTGCTACAGCAAAACAACTCAACACAGCAAATCACCAATACCGTGTTCTTCGCATGCTGCAAGTGCAAAGCAAAGCATGGTGGCTAAAACTAGCATTAAAAATTGTTACCAGCTTTAGGTGACATGTACAATGAACGTGTCCTTACATGAGTAATAATCCATGAGCATGAGTCCTTACAGGAGTAATAATCCACTAGTGCTCACATACGTTTTCATAGATTTCTGAAAGACTTGGAACTTGTCCTCCAGAAAGTAAACATTTGGCAATGAAAAATTAATTAATTACAGGAATTCTGTCCAGCAAAACAGCTCTTCCATATCTCAAGGTGTCCCAGGTGTCTCAACATGGAACGAATATGATCAAATTTGCCTTATATCTCCTAGTAAGCCCTTCCATGGATCAGGCAATCATTCAGATACAGGCATGTATGAATTAGGTGGGTAATTTCAACTACTAAGAATGTACTAAGAACTTTATTACCACAAGGTGTCTCAAGAATCATTACTGGTAATGATTCGACCCCACTGTTTTATTTCTTGAGAGCCAGGCAGACTAAGTGCTGACAACAGTCAGTCAAGACACCTCAGGTCTGGCCTGAGAGATACAAAGGTCATTAAACCCATTAAACACTGGCTCTTCTCTTATCTAGGTTATGATGAAGACCAGTCGTTTTTCTTTGAAAACTGAAGCTCCTCCATATTCTTTGAGAATATCTTTGGTGCCCTTCAAAAAGCATCAAGGAGATTTTCCTATCAGACTCTTGTGAAAAAATTTTCTGAAGTACAGAGAAAGAAGTAGGGCCCATACAAACAAAAGGGTGGATTAGGTAACCAAAGGCAATAAGCCAATGCTTACTGGTTTGATGATGAAACAGACTAATCAGCAAAACAGTACAAGGCAGAATTCAAAGATCTTTTGACAAGACTCCACCTAGTGCAGTCCTTAGTCATACTGTCTGACATTATAGCAAGTAAACAACCATTTCATTGAAGAGAAAACTTGTTATTTTCTCATCCAGAGATGAGAAAACTTGTCGTTGTATTTTCAGTATCACAGAAATGTGGAACAGTATAATTTCCACACAAAGTATCATTAAAGACTTTCCTGATGTAACAGGAAATTCTCATTCCAGTCTCAATCTGCATGAAGAGCAGTGGGGTGTTATCTCAGTCGATGTTATTACCATTTAAAGATAGTTTCTTAGTATGCAGGAGGAAGAACGGATGAAGTACCCAAGATCCTTCTTTGCTTGTTTGTGATTTGGGCTAGCAGCTTTTCTAGCAGAGTTGGAAGTGATGGAAATAAACTTCTTGCAGTCAGGTGAAGCCAGTTTACCTTCCCCAGGATAAGTATCACTCTGTAT